AAACACAGGTTTATTTTAAGGACCAACCAAATAAGAAAACAATTATAGGCAAGAAAAAATTGTATATAATTGCTTAATGTTATATACAATTATATTGCTTAATGTTATATACAATTTTTTCTTGCCTATAATTGTTTTCTTATTTGGTTGGTCCTTAAAATAAGCCTGTGTTTATATCATTATTTGATTATTATCTTTCGACCACCTTTGCTTGTTAGTCTTTTTTATTGTTTATAATAAAGCTTTTAAAGCAATGAAAAAGTAATTAAAATAGTTTGTAATAAATAAAGTTTCGTCTAACCCTACGCTCTATTTAGTGTAGTAACCGTGACGAAAATGCGAATTGATGCATCGATCGAGAGGAGCTAACGGCGCGCGAAAAAGCTAGTTGGTGAGCTCATAATCGGTCGGTCTCCCCTGGCGCGCATACATACGTTGTAACCGTAATACCTAGAACAATCGAGACGTTCCGATGGCGATGGCAGAAAACAGAGTTGACAGAGACTGAACAAGGAAAGAGAGAAGCGCGGACGTGAAAGATAACGGCTCACGGCCGATCGATCGATCCGCCGAGGCTTTTGTTCGTTTACGAGACCCGCTATCCGATTTAACTATGGATACTTGATGGAAGGACGCGTATCGAGGCGTTCCGGTAAGAAGCGGCTTTTATCTCCCGGTTAAGCTAAAGTGCAGGAACGATGCGTGAAAATGGAGAGGAAGAGTGATCTCAAGTGTGCATTTGCACATGTATAAAAATGATCGCGTTAAGATTGTAATAATTAAAAAAAAAATTCCATATCGACTCTAGGAACTTTTATACTTGGGAAAAGTGTAGAGATTCAAAATTTTCATATTTTGTGGAAAATGTAAATATAACTGCAAAATTTGACATTTCTAAGACAAGTGCTCTCAGTTCTATTTCATAAAAATACATTTTTTTTCATCAAAAAGCTTAAATTCGAGAATTATTAAATGCGATGAAATACTGGGAAAATCTAATTAAGATATGTTCGACTTGTTGAAAGGATTCTTCGATATTTGTCGATGTTGTGCAAGTGTCGGTTGACGTAATCCGTTCTGAAAAAATCGGAATTAATCTCGCAATGATATTCCTCGCTTTGATAAGGGGAGACGAGATGAAATACCGCAGAGCGTAATGCGCGATTAAACGCTCGCATAAATACGCGCTTATACGCGTGGGGAACGGCAGTAGTGTGTCTCGACGTATTCGCAGACACGGCTGCGACAGCTATTGAACTATTACACGCTTAACCGGAACGGAGTGACTGCAGTGGCGTGCCTTGCTGCTCTCGGTGCGTACGGCGTCATGACCTCAAGCGGGTAATCCCTATACGAACCCGAGAACACATCGTGTACAGCTCTGTTTAACCCGTCATTGTTTGTGCTACGAACTCGGATCAAAGACCTTTATTTCTTACGACGCGACAATTTTGTGCAAATTGTCGAATTTTAATAATTCTTTAGATTAACACGTATAATTTTTTAAAATATATTTTATGGAATATTTTATGAAATATAATAATACGTGGGAATGATAAAATTTTATCATATTCTTCCTCGAATCATTTTTCAATTATTTTTAATTTAATTTTAATTATTTGTTATATTTAATTTTTTAATTTAACCTGAGCTGTTATTTTCGATAAAAAAAATATTGCATCGTTTGACGATATTCTTTACATACCAAGCAACTGGCAATTTGATAGGATTGATTTGAGGATGTTGACACTTTATGCATTGCATGAGATTTTGCAAATGAGATTATTTCGCGACATTCCTCGAATATTTCAAAATAATGGCGCAGCAACAATTAAGAGATCTTTGTAAACTGAACGTAGAGCTACTTAATAGCTAGATTAGAACCGATTAAGATAATTTCCGCGACGACGTTCAAGCGGAGGAAATAAATTTGCCAGATGTAGCCATTAGGAGCATAACGCTTGGCGACGTAACGAGCGCGGTGTTTATCATTAATTAAGCGTTTCTTACGTCACCTGCGACTGCGGCGGCGAGGAGGAAGGTGGGAAGAGGAGAGGGAGTCTTCTCGGAAAAAGAATCTCTCTGGCAATACGCAGAAGCTTATAACGAAGTTACGCCACTGTCGATGTTCGAAACGTGGGGGTTGCGAGTGTCGCGCGGGGGTTGGTTATTTCACGGTCCACTCGTTCCACTCACACCCCTCAGAGGCGGCGGCGGCCCCTTTCCCAAATCCACCCCTAAGAATTAATTCGAGAGAATCGTCCGGCGACCGACCGACAGCCACTCCTACCTTTTCGAGCGCCCTCGGATCATCTTCCCCCCACGGATTCCTTTTCTCTCAGGATTCTCCTTTCGTATTCCCGTTCGCGTCGATTTAACTTTCTCCTGACTCCTGCTTCGATAACACCGTCATTTTCAACGAAAGGTCCGTCAGAAAAGTCAAGATAAGAAGAACGAGAGAATGGACATGTTTCTTTGTTCTTCTGGATAAGACTTTTTTTGTTGTTAACGTCCCTCGTAATAGATTTTTTCTGGACGAGTAGTCAGTTTTATTACCGTATGTTGTTATTTATAATCAAAGAAATAGCCGCGAGATTTTTGTTAAATTTGAATACCAAGTGATGAAAAGCACACTTATGTTTTTGATTGTATTAATATACTTACCGTCTTCACTTATAAGAGACAGAGAACCATTTCTCTAAAAACATCCAGTCATCCTTTGGTCGAGTCAGCGATTGCATTGACTCCAGCATTTAAACAGCATTTAACAAGTTTAAGAGCCGTTTGTTTCGCTAATGTAAAGGGCTACTTTTATCTTCAATTCGTAATTAAGACACGCATAGATGCGCGGTCAGATCACCGACGACGCGTGTCGCGCAGCTTGAGCCGGATAGTTTCTAATTTGAGCATCAAAGCAAGGTGCGAGCAATTTTCCGTCAATTGAACGTGGCTGCCTTTAGAAGTCGGGAACAAGGCGGCACTATGCGCTCGGAATTATGCGTGGAAGGCTCTAAATGCCGGTTTTGCGAAGACTGCGTCTTTGAAAGAGCGGGTAAGAGCTGCCGTCTAATGGCTCAGTTCACTTAGCGCGTCTTCTTGCTTTCTTTTCTTCGTGTACCTTTCCCTTTATCCTTCGTAAAAACGACAGTCATTTTTCTCTTCGTGCCCGAAATCAGACGGACCGTACTATCGAGGGCGACAGACGAGTGATGGCCGCTCATTAAGGGCTGATAAAGAAAAAACGTAAACTCGGCGAGCTATGGAGACGGTAGGAAAGAAAGCAATTACGACACCGATTCCGAGAGTCCGAGTTGCACGGAGTAATTGGCTTTCAGCGTCCAAACTTAATCGAACTTACGGCTATTTCTCCCGTAAAAACACCAAGTTGAAAAGTTATAAGAACTGAAATGTTGTAAAATAGAAAATTATGCGATTGTAGAGAGATCGATTTTGATTCGACATATCGATAAATGTGTCATGAGATCGGGATTATTTCAAATCAAAATTGAGAATTTTCAGTTCTATATAAATATATGAAAATAAAATATTGTTATTTATTAGAAATATATTTTGCTAAAAAGTATTTATTTTCTTTGTAGCAGGAATTGTCCCGTAAAGTACTATTTTTCGTTTTTAAATAACGAAATTGTGTTCAAATATTGCATTAGATTTCAATAAATAATTAAATAATACATACGTAAATAAAAAATACCTTAAATAAATATCTTAAAAAATATATACTTAAATAAAAAATATACTTAAATCCTTGGCATTCCAGTATTAGACGATGAAATGAAATTTGTAATGTTACCCAGTAGTAAATTATCTCGCGACGAACGTCGAAAGCGAACAATGCGAGATATTGTTATCGTAACACGACGGTTCGAGTGTGGTAAGCAAAATCGATCTCTATTCTTGTCGCACGTATGCGTAACAGGGATTAATTGTATCTATATACACTGGATGGAGGTTTTTACGAGCGTAACGTATGATTTTTATTTTACACAGGAACGATCACTACGTTCCGGGCGTGCCTCGTTTTTTTGCGATCAGCACGCGAAACATTACTCGCTAATTTTTCACCACAATCGCAATCGCCGCTCATTCTCGTGCATCCATCCTGACGCATACATCTTACTTGCTAAGAGCGTTTTTTTTGATAAAATCTACTTCCCTTTAAGACGAGTTTCCGCCGTCGCTTAATCGCGGCGACGTACGGAATATGTTACAAAGGTGAGAAAACGACAAGGATTCGGGATGTTCGTGTTACTTTACATGGAAAAAAGTACTGAGATTCTCGTTTTATCGAGCGAAGGACGACTCGCCAATTTCGGACGATATTACGATAGTTTATGACTCTGATCAATCTTTTTTAAGATTCGCAAAACAACGAGGAATAAATTATAAAGATTAATTATAAAGAAGTAATGGAAACTTTTTAACGAAACTCGGCCCTCCATTCTGTTATCATCTTTGTGTCAAGTACCGAGTTATCTATCAGCTGATGAGTGCGTCCGTTTTAAAAAGATGTCATCTTCCCTTCGCTATTGTCTAGATATCGACGTGGCAGAAAAATACGCATGGAATTTAAATGTTTGGCCAGTGTCGTGTCGGAATGATACGCTCGTTTTTTGAACGTCACCCTACGTAAACCGATTATGCTATCGAGTCGCTTCACATGCGCAACGGGAAGGCAAAATATAACATCGCGCTTCGATCCGACAAACGAAAACATTACACCCATCGTCTGATTCGATACTTCATTAATTTTCAATGTCATTTTTGAATATTAAAAATTGCTATTTTATAATAATTTCATATCATTTGTATCTGAAAAATAATACAAACTCTCCTGAATAAAAATTATTCAGGTAACAAGCGTTCTATTCGCATTATTTCTCTGAATTATCTTTTGAAAATTTCGTTTTTGAAAAAAATAAGATTTTAATAGTCTTTTCTGCTTTTCGCGTATTAAATTTAATAATTAACATATCCAATTAATTATCACAACCTGCAAAAATTCTACGGACTTTGTAATTTTCAATTTTATTCTTCAAGTGACCAATTTCATTTATTATCACGCAGAAGAACGATGTAATACTTTCTGTTAATTTGACAAAACAACTATAATTATTATGACAAATCATTCATCGAAAAACAAGAAATTGGAGAATCAAACAACGAGTAAGTTACAAACACACCAATATATCCCCTTCTCCCCCCTAGTACTTTTCTTCGCCGCGACCGGAAGTACTCACACGAACCCGCCGTTTCCTTGCCGTGGACTACGAAGGCGAGGACGCTGACGCAGGCTATCGTCGCCCGCGAGTTCGCTACGCGTGCGGGTGCGTGTGCGGATGCGGATGAGACGTGAGGGTCAGACCGGTGGAGGAAGGCGTAGATGTCGGCGGCGGCCCCGACGCAGTCGCAGCAGGAGTCGCTGACAGATGATGGCCGAAGAAGGTCGGTCCGGTCGGCGGGTAAGGTGGGGCCGCCGGGTGATAGTAACCGGGTGGCGGCGGCGGCACCGGCGGCGGGTGGTGTACGTGGGCGTGAGGGTGCGGGTGCGTGTGCGAGTGCGGCAGGGGGTGCTGATGGGGGTGCGCGGCGAAGAGGAAGGCTGGCGCGTACGGCGACGGATGCGGCGGCGTCGTCGGCACCGTGGGACTGTTGACGTCCAGGCCCGGATTCTGCTTCTTCCACTTGGTCCGCCGATTCTGGAACCAGATCTTCACCTGGGTCTCGGTCAGCTGCAGCTCGAGCGCGAGGTTCAGCCGCTCGCACACGGACAGGTATCTCGTAGTCTTGAACTTGTTCTCCAGCCTAACCAGCTGCTCGTACGTGAAGGCCGTTCGCGCCCTTCTGGGTTTACCGCTGGCGTTGCTGCTGCCTCCGCCGCCCCCGCCCCCGCCGCCCGTGCCGTTCTGACCGTTCTGACTCTGACTCTGACAGTTTTGCACCTGGACGCCGCTCGACGAGGTGGACGACGACGAGGACTGTCGCTTCTTGCAGTTTGTCGCGGTTGTGTTGGTGCCGCCGCTAGTCGCGTTCTCTCGCCCGACGCTCTCGGAATCCTGATCCATCACCCGCATTTCAATCTCCTCGTCTTCGTCCTCCTCCTCGACGTCCTCCTCCATCTCCTCCATGACGGTGTCCGGTGTACCTTCCTCATCTTCTTGCCCGCTGCCGCAGGCGAATTCGCCCCGCGAGTCGCCGTCTGAAAATAATAATCACGGGATCACTTTTGTGATGGAAGGTAAAACCACCAAGAGGGTGAGGCGATGATACGGGATCGCGGTGTCGGGTGACGAGGATTGATTATACGAGGGACAAAATTGCGGCTTCGATGTCGCGTTTCTCATCGTGCGAGCCGATTTCAACGTTCGCCGTATACTTTAAGATTTACCGAATGTTTACCTCATAACATATGGAATCGTTTTAAATCTATTTCCCTAAAATTCAATTTATAACGAAATCGAAAGATGGACTTTACACACAAACTTGACAAATGGATGTAGCTGTAAAAAAAGTATTATGATAAAGAGAGCTCGGTAATATATTTTCATATCGGAGGTTTCCATTAATAAAAATAAATAAATAAATATGTACATAGTTTATATAATTGTATTGTCGAATATGTTTTAATTGCAACATGCGAAATACAAACGCTAATTGCTAGTAATTAGTTTAAAATTTGCTTAATGCACAACTCATTTGTTAAATTACTAAATTTTGTTGAGATGATTTATACCACAAAGAGATATTATTTCTCGCGTCTCGTGAGAGAACCGAGTTGCATAGCGGCCGATCGAGTGATCGCGTCACCGATCGTGTCTGCGAACGAAACGATTCTGTGTGAATCAGAGAGGGATGGAGAGAAGCGAGGACTGAGAAAGAGAGAAAGAACGGCCAATCGTTCGCTCAATGAGAGAGGAGATTGGAGATTCAATCAGCACGCAGATGTCCCGGGGACAGATATTCCCTGGCTCTCGTCCGTGGGGGTTGGGGTGCCTCTGGGATACCGCGAGTGGGGATAGCTTGCCGAATAAAACCAGGGAGACAGGGGGGGAAGAGAGAAAAAGAGAGAAGGATAGGAACAGAATAGACGAAAAGCGACGAGGATGGGACATGTCGGCATCGAAGGCAGCGAGAGCGAGAGATAGGGAATAGAGAGAAAGAGAAACAAATAGAGAGTAGGCAAGATAGAGAGGGAGACAGTGGGGACTTTATCCGAATTGGCGTGGCTCGTGGCCCATAGCCTGCAGCCTAGCATAGTGCCTGGGGGTTGGAAGTCCGTAGGGGGCGACGGATCGAGAAGGTTTACGCCGTAATGGGATTTGTATCTCGTTAACGCGCGATCGTTCTTGCCCCATCGTACAGGCCGCCAAGCGGCTACCTTTCCCATATTTCCATCTCCTTCCTGCTTCAGTTCGATCTTCTATACCGTTCTCGTATAACGCCGCGGTCTCCGCATCGAGATATACCTGGCCGATGTCGATTGATTGCGTCTAATTGAATTGTGTAATTTATATTGTTCCTCCTTCTTCCCGCCTCGTCGCGTGCTTTAACGGGGATTGCATCCTGTCAACCGCAGTCTTTGATGAAATCAGATGTGCCGAATAGTGTTTTAATGTTGCTTTCGATGTTTCTTTTTCTCTTTTGTTCTTAATGTCAATATACTCTACACTTACCGCGAGATATAAAATTTTCATTGTTAAATTTTTTACTTTAGGAGAAAAAGAGACAGAGAGGAACCTACAAATATAATTTACAAAATTAGATTTTTATATCTAACAAGAGGGAAATTAATCAATTAATTGACTGTCGCGTGGCTCTGAGAGATATAATTTTAGTTAAATTATTATGAAAGTTATTTTGGATAAAAATAATTATTGCAAAATATCTGAAATTGAAGTTTTTATTAGAAGAATAATAATCGATTGATTTTTTTCTTGAAAAGGAGTATTACAATATAAATGTCATTTCGTCACCTAGCATGACAGCTGTGAAATTAATTGAGCTCATCAGAAAATTAACGACTGCAGATCGCGTTTCTGTCATTGCGTTTTTATAGCGATGGGATCGGCAATGGAAGGACCATTCATATCGTTTAGATCTTCTTCATTAACCACGATCAGGCGAGTTGTGTGCGAGAGAAGCGATCGGGGATGTATGTCGAGTCCCTGAGGGATACGTTAAGGGTGCACAGGGGGGAAGTCGATCGCAGTGCGCTGCGACAAAGCAACAGACACGGGAATACTTATCTCGTTTCGGTTTTCCTCATTAAACACAATGACAGTGTTTAACGACAAGTGGCACAATCGGGAAATACGCAATAAACAAAGTCCCTAACCGTTTCTGGATTGCTTGCGGCGATGAGTCGCGCTTTCGCGATTTATCTCAGTGGAAATTCCTAATGATAGTATTTATAAACCAGCTGATGCTTGAAACATAATTTTAGTTACGATGTACAATAATTGAAATATAAAACAAGCATAAAATATAATGTATTTTATTTAGAATTAGTAATGGAACCAATTAAAATTAAAATGATTAAGAAACAGAGAACCAATCCTGCTTGTGCAATCTATTAAAATCAAACAAGATTCTTTCATTCTCGATAATAAAACTATAACAGCTGTTCGATCTTGAAGTTTTCCGGAGCGTATGTAAGAAATAATTATAAATTTCACCGAAATCTAGCGGAAGATCCTGGATCACGAATCGTGAACGCAACATTCGGAGGGGTGACTTTGGTGGGTACTTTGGTGAGTCGCGCTTTCGCGATTTATCTAGCGGAAATTCCTAATGATAGTATTTATAAACCAGCTGATGCTTGAAACATAATTTTAGCTACGATGTACAATAATTGAAATATAAAACAAGCGTAAAATAAAATGTATTTTATTTAGAATTAGTAATGGAACCAATTAAAATTAAAATGATTAAGAAACAGAGAACCAATCCTGCTCGTGCAATTTATTAAAATCAAACAAGATTCTTTCATTCTCGATAATAAAACTATAACAGCTGCTCGATCTCGAGATTTTCCGGAGCGTATGTAAGAGATAATTATAAATTTCGCCAAAATCTAGCGGAAGATCCTGGGTCATGAATCGTGAACGCAAAATTCGGAGGGGTGACTTTGGTGGGTACTTTGATGAGTCGCGATTTATGTCAACGGAAATTTTTAATAATAGTATTTATAAACCAACTGATGCTTGAACATAATTTTAGCTACGATGTACAATAATCGAAATATAAAACAAGCGTAAAATATAATGCTCGCGCGGAATTAGTAATGGAACCAATTAAAATTAAAATGATTAAGAAGCGGAGAATCAATCCTGCTTGTGCAATCTATTAAAATCAAACAAGATTCTTTCATTCTCGATAATAAAACTATAACAGCTGCTCGATCTCGAGATTTTCCGGAGCGTATGTAAGAGATAATTATAAATTTCGCCGAAATCTAGCGGAAGATCCTGGGTCACGAATCGTGAACGCAACGTTCGGAGGGGTGACTTTGGTGGGTACTGCGACAACGAGGAATGAAAAGAGAGAGACAGAGAGGTGAAAAGAGAGAGAGAAAAGTCATTGTGATGCAGAAGAGCCAATTTTCTGGGCGGCTTGGCGCGATGCGGTGCGATACGGCGCGATGCTGCGCGATTATCATAACAACCGGCGATATTATTCCGTCGGCGGATCCGGCGGGGGTGGAGAGGCGAGGTGATCCCGGTGGCGGCAGTCGAAACGGATTGGCTCGGGCCTGATGCACTTTTAATGGGAAGCGGCGACCATCCTGGTAAGATGGATGAGCCGACAATCGTGTAATCTCGATTTCGACGGCTGCGATCGATCCATCGCGTCGGCGTCCTTCTCCCTCACCCTTCTCTCCCTTCTCTCGCGATAAAAATGTCCTTGGCTCGCGCCGATGGAAGACGACGGCGGCCGGACCATCCGCTGATTTCGCAAGCACTCGGTGTCCCGTATCGGGATAAAGGGACGACGATGACGGGGTTCAAGGACTGGTTAACGCAGATTAGCGGAGCAATTTGTCACGCTCCGACAGGCCGCCGCCCGGTCGCTTCCCCTGCCCGCCTCCGTCGACGTACCGTCCGCTTCTGCCTCGCTTCACCCCTTCTTCGGGATGCTTCTTCTGTCCCTTATCGGCCTGCAGGACCACTTCTCCCGCGTCTGTCCGCCAGACTCCATTAAATTCGAAACTCAACTGTGAAATTGGGATCTTCCGCGACGAACGGTCACCGAACTCGCGCAATCCACCACCGAGAAATTTTCGTCGAATCAAAGAATGCGTTCAAAAAGATGAGGACAAATGACTTTGCGATATCAACCGAGTATTGGATCGATCAAATTGTTTATATGCGTCAGCAATCCGATCTCTCTTTCTCTTTCTCTCTACAGTGAATTCTTAGATTGCTCTATCTTTTTCGTAAGTGACGTAAATGATTGATATATTTAACAAAATAAATGCGTAAAGTATAGACATGTGTAAATAACGATTTGCATCGATTGTAAAGCTGTGATTTTCAATCTATTCTGGGAAAAATTGTGGCACATCACAAGTTTTATATTCGTTCTCCTAATAAGATAAATTTTAGAAATGTAAAAAAAAATAAATTTTTATATAAAATTACTTTGGAACACAATATATACGCACCTAATAGCATTTACTTCTACATAGCTGTTATATAGTACTTTCATTTTCTCCGTAAATTAATGCACCGCAGAATCTCGGAGCTCGCGCGTATCATTTCGCAATTTACTTAACGTTATTCAAAACGACATTAATGAGATGTTAGAAGAGTTTCATTCTCATGTCCCGGCTGAGATATCCCTAGTTGTCACTTTTGCAGGAATCCTCGTGTATCGCCGTACACGCAAATAGCCCGACAGCTCCCAAAATTGCACGATCGTCGGAGAAGAAGTCCTCCTTCTAGCGTCTAAATTTAGAACGAGGAAGAAGCGAGAGAGGACTAGCGAAGCATCAAGGGAACCAAGATGCGGTCGGACGAACGCCGGACGTGAAAAAATATGGCTCGAGACATAGCGTGGAACACTAAGAATACAGCAACGCGTGAAATACATATCGACTTTTTTTCGCCTGGAAACAATTAAATGGATAACATCATCCAGTGTCAGGCATCATAAAGATTTGTTTCAAGTTGCAGAAAGATTAATCCACAGTGTCTGCGATGAGCTCGGATATAAACAGAAATTTTTTTATAATAATTATAATAAAAATTTATATCTTTCGTATATAATTTTGTCTCTTCACATGTATATTTTTAATTATTTTTCTATATTATATGACGAGTGAAAAAGTTTCGCAAACATCGATTATGATGAGAAAATATGAGAAGCTACTCATTTACAATACAAGAAGGCTACTTATTGAGAGAGAATTATTAAAAAATATAAAAAATAATAATAAGCTATATAAAAATTTGTATTATCAAAAATATAAATTATCAAAAATATAAATATCAATAGTAGCGTTCTCTGTATGTAATATATGAGCTCGTAATAAATTTCTTAATAAATATGAAAGATATAAATTTTCATTCGAAAGAACGACTTCGGAATCTATATCGGCTGGCTCTTTCTCCTTCAATCTCAATTAAATCCTGACTGAAAAGCGCACTGAAAATGTCACGCGCTATTCTTGGTTCATTTGTTGATATAACCGCGGCGTTTGGATCATGCGTCGGATCTTTAATCACGTTAATTACGCTAGTCGAGTAGGCGTGCCAAAAGCGAGAGAATAATATTGCGTTACCGAAGACGAGAATCTGTTATTCACCTTCGTGCACGCTGCCGGCGCGTCGGTGACGGCGATGCTGCACGCGATTATGGACGACGCGGCCACCGGTAAACTTGTTCGGGTCGAGGATATTCTCGACGGAGAATGCGAGGCACCGCTTGTTGTTCGTCTGCACCGTGCCGGTAGCGGTCGTGGTGATGCTACCTGTCGACGTGCCGGTCGTGGTACGCGCCACGTTACCGGAAGTGCACACCGTCATGACAGCCGAGCCCGTGGCGCCGTGCCCGGATATATACACTGACGTTCCATGGCCGGCGGGCCCACCACTTTGTACACAGGTGAAAGGATGCACCCCGCGATTGGCGAACGGATGTACGAGCTGCTCGGATGCGACGCCTCTCGACGAGGGTGCCGTGAGATCCACCGGGCTACTGGGGTTGCTCTCGTCGGCGTCCTCCCGACACACGTCGACTTCGACGTCACCGTCTTCGTGGTAGCTGCCGTTTCGGTGTCTCTCGGATCGACCGTCGTCCTCCTCCTCTTCCTCGTCTTCCGGTTCTTCGTCGTCCTCGTCGTCCACGATGACGTTCCTTCCGGCCGGCGTGTTCCGCTCGTCCTCGACATCGTCCTCCTCCTCGTCCTCCTGCTCTTCCGCCTCCTCGGCATCGTTCGGCCTCTTCTCTCTGCCCTGATCCATCTCATGATACTGATCCTTGTCGACGGAGGTGACGGATCGCAGGATCGGCGAGCTCGACGGTGACTGTTGCTGTCGCATGCTGTCGTACCTCGGGAAGGGCTCGCCGGTACGGACGAGCAACACGGGCCTTCTCTCCTGCGGCGACAGTGATAGACTGGCGCGCATATCGGCCTCTTCCCGCGGTAGAACGATGCCTTCTTGCATTCTCCACATTACCCACCAAGAGAGCGATGTCCTCCTTTACCTGATCTCGCGTTTCTTCATCTTCACTCGCGGAAGTTACGGCGATTGTTTTCACGAGCCTCTCGTATATTATTTCCCAGCGAAAAATACCATAAGCCTCGTCAAGCCGACCGTGGTCGGTGTCTCACGTCAGTGTAGATCCATCGTACGTTACACCTTCTTTTCTCGAATGTCACTGTTTTGCTCTTTTGCTTCGGTCGATGTTGACATTACGTGCGACACCTCGAATCGATGAATTATTTTAATGCAACCGGCCTCGCACTCGCACTTTTCTCACGACCAGGACAAAACTCCCGAGGCCTCGCGACAAACAGCGGATTTAAAATTATCCCTCGCGGCATGGGCGCGCGATTAGCAATGTCTTTGGTCACCCGTCGCGGCGCGCGTACCGTGGCAGCTACTCTCGGGAGTCTCGCGTAGAGCCATGGTGGCAGAATTGGTGGTATATCGGCGTATTATTAGCGCCGAGGAAGAGAGCGGTGGCATCGTGGGTCCGAGTGGAACGGCAAAAGGGCGAGGGGGTTTGTTCCGCCTCGGCTAGGCGTGGTTAACCCCCGCTCGGAGCTACCTTCAGCCGCCAATGGGCGCACCGGATGACTCTCCCCGTCGAGGGTTGCGCGCACACACGTGCTTTAAACACGCTCCGTAACCGCATCGCTCTGTGTTAGTTCCGCGCGCATCGCTGCGCACACATGCCAACGTATGTGTACGTGTAGACACACACTCCCGAGGCGGTTAACACACACGGGGGTGCCGCGGCCTGAATGGACGAGGCACGAACACGCGGACGAGCCGCGTGCGGACGTCTCGCGGCGGAGCTTTCGCCAGATACTTGGGTATGTACACGCGAATACCCCAACTTCCGCACCCCTTCGCTATCTTCCCCTCGTCCTTCTCGTCGCGATACCCCCCGCGACTCCCCGCTCTTCCAGCGATCGGACCGGCTAAAGTGGTTTGTCTTTGATTTAACCACTACAGAGAGAGAAAGAGAGAGAGCGAGTGGCCTCGATGAAGGAACGCGTCTCTCCCTCGACGTCGTTCGTTGCGCTCGTTTCAAGGTAGGAAGGAAGGAAGGTAGGACGCGTGTGGAGGAATTGCATGCTCGACGCATGTATACGGGATCGCAAAACGCTCGGTGGGTTTGGCGATGATCGTCGGTGGTGGTGTCGGCGGTGAGGGCGGCGCATCGCGGCCTCTTCAACGAGTTTATGTATAGCGATTTCCCGTGTATAGGATGGAGAGAGTATAATCGTGGTGGGTGCACGACACACGCGCACACGTACACATTTTCTCTCCCTCGCGAATCGGGAGTGAGGTGGTGATGGTACTACTGGATCAAATCAGGACCAACACAACGGCCAAACGACCGGACGACCGACCGATGGACGGACGGACGGGCTGATACGAGGGCCGATGCCGGTGCTCCGATGTTCCTGCTCCGCTCTTAACTCGGCGCACGGATATTGTTTACCCGACCATTTAGGTAATTGCTGGCCTACCGCCCTGCCAGCCAATCGAACGTAACCGACTGATGCTTCTGCAATACTGATCTCTCTTTCTCCCTCTCATTCTCCGTCAACAATGTGAATTTGTCCATCACTCTCGTAATCTTCGGCTTTCCTAGTTTCACTCTGACATCTCCCTCCTTCCTTTCCCTCCCCCCTCCCCTCTTCCTCCTCTTTCCGATCAACATCGAATTAGCTCGGCACCAATTGTTGAACGAAAACTGATGTCTCTATTGTCCTAGTGATTGATTCTTTCCAGAAAATTGGCGAGAGATGTTGGAAAGATATATACGCTTTGCCAGAAGATTACGGTGGTGAAGTGTTTTGACAGTTTTAATGATTATTTCGGTATTATATATTTAAAGATAAATTGATTGATATGGTATACTAAGCTTGTAGTAAGTATGTCGGGCGCGTGTGACTAAACTTTGTTGGAGTGATTAAAAGGGCGATTGAGTTCGGAGCAGTTTTACAGATGATCAGGAGTTTATGCGCGCGCTTGCACAGACGCGAATACTTCATCCTGTGAAATTATAACCGTAACGATGATCGCATTAGATGACAAATTGGATTAAGCGTGGCTCGACTAATCCTCAATTGTACCACCTCATTATTTGGTTAGCGCTCGAGCGAGGTAACGGCGCGGTAGTTGAGCCGCGTAGAAGGTATCGCAGTGTGTTATCGTGTTTCGCGAAAACTAATTATCGTGGGCGCCGTAGTTAATGCGATAATAGACCTTTTATTCATCAAGTCCAACCGTTTTGTTAGCCGCATATATTATATAATACATCGCAGCTTGTTCCGCACATACGGATGTTTCAGAACAGCTATTATGCTTAGCTTTTCTCATTTATATCTTCCTGGGCTAGATTCGAAATAACTTTATTTCTACAAGAAAAAAAAGAGAAATTTCTTTTTTTCAACATTTTAGTATTAAAAATATCTCGCGATAAATTATCTTCAAGCGAAGATTAAAGCAAAATTTAAAAAATTTATGTTCAAATTTAAGTATAATTGGTCCGAGCTAATTAACTTTTGGATTATTGATGATTTAAAATCAAATTCGCAGCTGAAAAAACTCGAGACAATTTTGGAACACCCTTTGCATTCTCGAGAAGGGAGAAGATAATCGTAGAAATATGCGCTTCTCGTTCCATCTTGTCATGTGAATGGACGAACATAATAATTCACAACCCCCCTCGTTTACAAAAATATCACCTCGACGTTCTTAGAAGCGTCATTTTAAACTCGATGTCAATTATCCGCGAACAAATGAGCGTGGTTTTACTCATGTGACTTATTGTTAGAGCCGATTTAGCTGATGTCAATCGCTAGTTCTTGTTCGTCTTTTTAAATATGCCTCGTCTCTACAAATCATGTTTCAAAATTGTCGTCGGACAATTTAGCGCTAATGAAAGAAATTGCTTTTTAATTTTCCCAATTTCTGTGATATGAAGATATGAAATAACATTGTAAACTTCTTCAGCGAGAACTTTAGTTCTATGCGGACATTGTTGCAAATCAATATTTTAATCACCGTGGAGGATAAAAAATTAATGCACCTGGCCAGCATCACGTACGATGAATCGAGGTCATTTGCGGTGCATTCCGTATGCATGCAATGTTTGCCACTCGATTTGTAGTACGTCGAAACATAATTAATAATTCAGGATGCTAATGTAACGCGCACCAGTCCACGCCACCTAGATACTTTTGAACGTGTCGCTCGTCTCTGTCCGAGGCGATAAACGTAACATACAAGATTATTACGAATGGATCTCGTATATTGATTAGCGCCTTCAATGAAGATCCTATTGATGCTGATCCTATTCATGTTGATCATCGAACACGGGAAAGCGTTTCTCCGGCGTCATTATGGCGCAGGTGAACTTGGTGCCGGTGGATTACTCCACCTGCCAAAGTGATGAGGGTTTAGGCGGGGGTCCCTAATAGTTCCGAAACGGTACGCGAGTCGGGAGGTTAAGCTAGTTGGCGAGATAGACGTGGAGCACGGCGGCGGGGGCGACGACGAGAGGGGGTTTGATAGAGCGATCGAGCGGGCGAGCGGGATGGGAGGCGGGAGGAAGGGACGGGGGAATGGATCTATCGAAAGTGGGGGCGCAGGGAGATCGGACAGACCAGCCGTGACCAATTTGCGCCCGATTCTGATCTCGATTCTACCCGTCCGACACATGGATACACACGTACGGGTACAGTGGTGCGAGAGTACCATTGTGGCGTACACACATCGACACGCGAGTCCCTCGATCTTCTCTTCTCGATGCCCATGCATGGCCTCCCTCTCTCTCCCTCCCTCTCTCGTTTGCCCACGTTTGTCTCCTCTTCCCTCCCCCGCCCCCTCCCTCCCTGATCCCGCGCGGACGTCGGCACCCTACTGCCAAGAGATATTCGTCACAGAAAGTCGCGTTGTGTCGCTCGGTGAGCAGGCCACCCCAAAAGTTTCACGCCTATCTGGACCGGCGGCACCATCTATTCGCGCCACGATAATTGGCCAATTAAAACCGGGCGAGAGCGTTCGAGTTACCTGCCATCCGATAATTATACGGTGTCCTCGCGGCGGTTCGACCACGTATCCACGCGACCGGGCGTGGGTGGCGGCGACGAATGGCGATGGGAGAGGGAGGGTGAGGGGAGGCGGAAGGGAGAATCGGTCCGGGGGTGGGAGCTGGATCGCTGCACGGATGCATGGGAGGAAAGGTTCCTCCGGAGGGCCGAAAGGCGGTGGATGGGAATCGACTATTCCGATCACGTGGCTTCGGATTCTACGGTGTGGTCCTCCTGGTTTTTCCTCCCTCATCCGCTCTTTCCCTCCTCTCCCCCTCCCCCCCTATCCCTCCCCCCCGGTTTCGTAGCGATCCCCGGCGCGGCCACGCGGCTCTCTTCTCGTTCTCTCGCTTACTATCCTCCTTCGCGTAAATCAATGCGGACAGAACGCCCTTTCCTTAACCTCGTGACGCATGACTGGAACACTCCTTGGTGCCACGTTTAATCGCGACACTTAACGATGTAGTTTTGACTTTGTCAGTATACTCAACTCGAGTCAATGATGGACGCGATAGATTTCGAGAAAGTCTTGGAAATTTTTTTAGTTGTAAATAAAAAGCATACCGTTTGCGTTATTGTTAAATTATATATCTTTTTAAGGGATTAAAACAACTCTAATCAGGTGTACCGTCACTACAGAAATAAATTGTCAAATAATAAATATAATTTTCAAGGCATTAAGATTGCAAAAATTAATTAAATATTGCACGTATTGTAAAGATACATTCCTTATTTTATAATCTATTTCTCCAACATTATGTATGTAACTTAACATTGAAGGATATTTAAAAAATCGTAAGAATTTTTGAATCTATTATCATATATTAAAATAAATAATATGATGAATAAACAAAACGATTGCGTCATCTGTCGAAAGTTGATTTAATAGACAGTCGAGCGTAGAAAAATAAGTTGACGATGCACATCTCATTAAGAAACTCCTCCTCTGATTTACTTCGCGAGCAAATGATTGATCGTTTACCCCTAATTAGAGATTGGGAAGCTTCTAAAAAAGTAGACGAAATTACGCGTGACACGAGCGGAAATTAGGTTTATGAAGAACAGAATGATATATGGCCGTTATACTTCAGTAACGTTAGCGACACCGAGATAACTATATCCAGTGACAGCTCCATTTCAGAAAATCTTAATGCTTCTATTTCGTAGTAATAACGTTAATTACGACGGCAATTGGCATTATCGCTTACAATCTATATTTCATCATGAAAAACATAACGCGCCGACGAAACCGCGCTACTAACGAGCTCCTAGCGGCATTAAATGCTTTTAAATGAGGACACATATACGGGGTGCTCTACAAACATTTAATTTTGTGATGATAAATATTTTGACAATCTTCTAATTATTATTCTTCTCATCTTATAATTATCCTTCTAAATTAATCTATATTAATTTTCTTTC